CGTGTGTCTCCTCTGATGCTGTGAAGTGTGCAGTGCTCTGCGTGACGTGTGTCTTCTGATGCTGTGAACTGCGCAGCGCTCTGTGTGACGTGTGTCTCCTCTAATGCTGTGAACTGCACAGTGCTCTGTGTGGCGTGTGTCTCCTCTGATGCTGTGAAGTGTGCAGTGCTCTGCGTGACGTGTGTCTTCTGATGCTGTGAACTGCGCAGCACTCTGTGTGGCGTGTCTCCTCTGATGCTGTGAACTGCGCAGCGCTCTGTGTGACGTGTGTCTTCCGATGCTGTGAACTGCACAGCGCTCTGTGTGACGTGTGTCTCCTATGAATTGTGCAGAGCTTTGTGTGACGTGTGTCTCCTCTGATGCTGTGAACTGTACAGTGGTCTGTGTCATGTGTGTCTCCTCTGATGCTGTGAAGTGTGCAGAGCTCTGTGTGACGTGTGTCCCCTCTGATGCTGTGAAGTGTGCAGTGCTCTGTGTCACATGTATCTCCTATGAATTGTACAGTGCTGTGTGACATGTGTCTCCTCTGATGCTGTGAAGTGTGTAGTGCTCTGTGTGACATGTGTCTCCTAGGAAGTGTGCAGTGCTCTGTGTGACGTGTGTCTCCTCTGATGCTGTCAATTGTGCAGTGCTGTGTGACATGTGTCTTCTCTGATGCAGTGAAGTGTGCAGTGCTCTGTGTGTGACATGTGTCTCCTCTGATGCTGTGAACTGTGCAGCACTCTGTGTGACGTGTGTCTCTTCTGATGCTGTGAAGTGTGCAGAGCTCTGTGTGGCGTGTGTCTCCTATGAATTGTGCAGTGCTCTGTGTGTGACATGTGTCTCCTCTGATGCTGTGACGTGTGCAGTGCTCAGTGTGTGACGTGTGTCTCCTCTGATTCTGCGAAGTGTGCAGAGCTCTGTGTGATCTACAGTTTACCTGTACCTGTCCTGGGGACATGTCATTTTGGATGCAGGAAAAGGCAACACCAGGAAATAGAAAATCCAGATCATTCTAATTGAAAAACAGATGCAGCCTGTCACAGCATTTTCCAGTGAACATGCGAGTGTGCTGCAGCCCCCCCGTCCTCCACCGTGGCTCCCTGTCCTCAGCCGTGACCCCCCATCCTCCACCGTGGCTCCCTGTCCTCAGCTGTGACCCCTTGTCCTCAGCCGTGGCCCCCTGTCCTCATTCTGTGTCACCAGGCTGGAGTGCAATGGTGCAATCTCGGCTCACTCTAACCTCCACCTCCCGGGTTCAAGCAATTCTCCTGCCTCAGCCTCCTGAGTAGCTGGGACTACAGGTGCACGCCACCACCCAGCTAATTATTTCTGTATTTTTAGTAGAGACGGGGTTTCACCATGTTAGCCAGGATGGTCTTGATTTCCTGACCTCGTGATCTGCCCACCTTGGCCTCCCACAGTTCTGGGGTGATTTTTAAACATTTCTCTCTGTTGTGCTATTCATCATTATTTCAGTTATTTTAAATGACTGGTTAAAATGTTAACTGAAGGAAGGTTTAGTATCATGTGTCTGTTTGACAAAGCCAATAGAGCAACTCATCCTTTAAAAAATCTGTAACATATCAAAATACTGATAAACTGTTAATTCTGAGTGGTAGACATTTGAGCAGTTCTTTTCCATTTTCCTGTGTTGTTTAAAATAGAACACTATAGGTCCGTGGGCCCCTTCAGTGGTCCAGACACAAGTGTCTTTCCCTCCCCACACCCATCCACATGGCTGAGGGTCTCGGGGCCTCGGGAAGTCTGGACAGCATCCACCCTGGGGACACGGGTTGTCACCTCCAAGGCTGCCTGACCCCAGCTCCAGGGCCTGAGCCCTGTCGGGAGAGAGGTCTGCTTGGCTACGACACCAGCCATGTGTGCAGCCCCCCCCATACCCCACCTGCAGGACCCAAGTTGGCAGCTAAAAGCCTACACAGGAGAAGCCAGTACCACGCCCTGTCCCCTCTCTGCTCCCCTCTCCTCTCATCAGGCCGTCTTCCTGGCTGGTGGGTAGGAGGTGGCCTGGTTGTGGGGTGAGGTGGGCATTGTGAAGTTTGTCCCGGAGCCCTTGGCAGGTCCGACGCCCTGTTGCCTGCCCTCAGCCCCTCAGGCTCGGTAGGTGCTGAGCCTCAGCAGCACCCAGGGAGAGGAGGGAGGGCACCTGGGCTCGGCTCTGCCCACCACACGCAAGGCACGGTGGGCGTGCCAGAAACCGCAGTGGAGGGAAGGTCCTCCTGTCCCCCCAGTGTGAGCACACAAGCGTCACTCACTCGGGAAAGTCCTCCTGTCCCCCCAGTGTGAGCCCACAAGCATCACTCACTCGCCTTCTGACGGATCTCCCACATCCATCCGGGATGGCTTCTCTTCTTTCTTGGCATCGGTGACCACCTGTGGGGAGTGGATACATTTAAGGGATGGGAGCATCAGCCACAGGCACCGAGGCGCAGCCTGTGGACCTGCTGGAGGGTCAGGCCAGGGCAGAGGCTGCCTGGGCCGGATGACCTCCCATCAGGCAGAGCGCTCTGTGGACCACACACTTCCAGTTAGGGGCACCTGACCAAGGAACTGAACTCTTGACATGGACCTGGCTCCTGGACTACAGCCCAGGCCTGGCCTGTCAGCCTGTGTGTGCCACTGGTTGCCCCCCGCCCCTTGAGTTCTTAGAACTTAAGTGTCCCATGAATGGCCTTGTGGGGGGTTAATAACCGGCTCTCTCTGCCTTGTGGCATGCTCTGAGGGCAAAAGGGAGAGAAGGTACAGTCTGGAAAACAAATGACCCCAGGAAGAAGCTTAAACTTGCCAAGAAAGAACTTTGAGAAACTTCCAAAATGATGACTGTTCACTACAGCAAAGAAATGGAGGAACACAGCCCAGATATCTGTGCTGGAAGGGTCCAGACAGGCCATTAAGTCAGCCTCTTCTTTTCACAGATGAGGAGGAGGACTATGGTGGTGATGATGCTGATGCTGATGGTGACAACAATGACGATGATGGTAAAAGTGACGGTAACAATGACAGTGATGTGACACTGATGGTGACAATGTTGATTAGAACGGCGGTGGTGAAGGTGGTGATGGTGACCGTGGTGGTGATGGTGATGGTGGTGATGTGATAATGATGGTGATGATGGTTATTATTAACAATGGTGATGATGGTGGTGATG